CTTATTGCCATACATTTTATAAAATAAAATTTCGCTATTAGTAATTTTTTAAAATTATTTATCGTTACTCATATTTTATTGTGAAATGTGAACTCCCTGTTGATTTATAGTTTTGTTCGGCTCTGTAAGTCCCCAACATTTACTTATGTACGTGATTTTTGGATCTGTTGTGAAATCAACCAAAATTAGCGGTGCTAATTTAGCCGGTCATCTATATGCCTGGATGATAGCGTATACGTGTTTAGTGGCTCGTTGAGTCATCAAGTACCTTTAACACCACCCTCTCCCCAATCCCATCACCCACTGCAGTTGTCACACGATCCCTCAAGTTCAGCGATTGCCCATAACAATTTGTTGCACTTGGGCCAAAGCGATAAGCTGGTATGAGCTCAGTTTGGGGGAAACCGGGAAGGCAGGGGCACCACCTTATCTACGTCCAGTTACTCATCCAAATTGCATCTCCATTTTGTTTTTGCAGGCTGATGACAAATCGCTGCTGGCCCGCTTCTTTCATGCGGACCGATCCCTCACAGCTGTGGCCAGCGAACTGGACAGCTTCGATGGACGGGCGGAGCCGGATCGATGCACCAGACTGGTCAGCAGGCTGCGTCAGAATCAGGTGGGTTACCCAAAAGCGCGCTTATTTGAACATAAGTAAAACAGTATTATCTACAGGACAAAGTGCTGGCCATCACGAATTTGATAATGGAGGAACTGCTGGGCGAAGATCGTGATCCGCGTGCCTTCCGCGCCAAGTTCCCCGAGGAGGTGCTCCAGGAGAACCTGGCCGGGCAGCTGTGGTTCGGCGCCGAGTGCCTGGCCGCTGGATCCTCGATCATGAACCGGGAGACGGAGAGCAAGGAGATGCGTCCACTGGCGCAGGCGGTGACCAAGAGCTTGGGCAATGTCCGCGTCCTGCTGCGGGACCAGTGTTTGAAGAACAACGTGCCCAACAGCAAGACACTGCACCTGGACCTGAACGACACCACCACAGAGCAGCTGTACGAGAGTCTGAAGATCTTCGACCGCCTGTTTGCCGAGTTCGAGTTGAGCTATGTGAGCGCCATGGTGCAGGTGAAATCGCGCCATGAGTACGAGATGCAGCAGTGGATCGGGGTGCTCTTCTCGGAGACGCTGCAGCGGGCTCTAAAGATTGGGCTGCTCGATCAGGACATGGTGGATGCCTTCGATCCCGGCCTGATGTTCTCCATTCCTCGCCTGGCCATCGTTGCCGGTTTGGTGGTCTATGCCAAGGGACCGCTCAACATGGACATGCCGGGCGATCAGCTGTCTGAGATGTTCCGTCCCTTCCGCACAATCCTCATCAAGATCCGCGATCTCCTGCGTAACCTCAACAAGCAGGAGCTCTACCAGCTGGAGAAGCTGCTGTGCACCAACGAAGACATCAACACCAAGGTGCGTTTAGAACTTAGCATGGCTAGATATTGGAAATTAATATATTTAATGTTTTAATTGCAGGTGCCACTTGGTTCGAGCAGCATCGAGGCACCCAGTCCGGAGCACAGCTCCAATCCTACGACAAGTGGTAGTCAGTATAACAACAACAGCAGCAACAACAATAACCACAGCAGCGGTGGCACCACCACCACAACCACAACCACGGGGGCAACCAGTACGCACAGGACTGTGGAGCGGCTGGTGGATCAGCGAAACAACAATAACAATAACAATAGCAACAGCATCAGTAGCACCAATCCAACAGTGGAGGAAGCTACCCTGCGCTCTCCGTCCATGTTGTCGTTGTCGCCCACCAGCACGCCCACCGCCTCGCCCGCCCCCTCGCCCACGCCCTCGCACTCGATAGCCTCCACCTCATCGTCGGCCACCAGCTCTACAAATCCGCCAGCGGACTGGAGCGACGGCGATGATGAGGACGAAGACGACGATGACGATGACATTGAGGTGGATGAGGAGAATTTGGAGAGCAGCGACGACGACGACACGGACGAGGAGCAGCTGCTCAAGGACATTGTGGCGGCGGACTGTGCCTCCGGCTACCTCATACCCAACACCAATCTGGGCAACCTGCTGCAGCCCCAGGAGGTTCCTCTCACGGACAACTTCGTGGCCAGCGAAGACGACGAGTACGGAACGGGGGAGCAGCAGAGACAGCAGCGGGCGCCGGAGGAGGAGGAGCCCAGCACGAGTGCTGCCATGCTGGCGGCCACCCGCACCCTGCAGCGGTTGCGCCTGCCCAGCAGCGACACCGATCCCCTAGCCGAGCCCACGACAATCAAAGCGTCCGAGGAGCAGCTGCAGAAGCAGCAGCAGCAGCCAGCCGTGCCCAGCGGACGCCATCGGGAGAGTCACAGTCACCGCCATCACCAGCGCCACCACCACCACCACCACCATCATCACCATCACCCACATCAGAATCAGCATCAGCATCAGCACCGCCAGCCGCATCCGCATCGCACAACTCGCAGTGGTCGCAAGCGCTGCAGCCTGGAAGCGCCGGAGGCGGAGACGCACACGGCGGAGAGGGAGCAGCACCTGGCCAGTGGTGACACCAGTGCCGCCTCCTCGCTGTCCGACGACGTGTCGCTGGCAATGCGCAACACCACGGCACGACTCAAGTTCAAGTGAGTAATTGTAAACACAGAAGTTCCATAAATTTAACAGAATTTGAATAGATGACTTTTAAAGAACACATTTAACTTAATGTTTCATAAATTTAACAGAATAAGAATATACGACATTTAAAGTACAGATTCAACTTAATTCTTAGCAACAATTTATTTATATTCGTAGAGTAAAGGTTAAGTAGATTCGTTTTGGGTCGTTAAAAATGTCATTAAAAAGTTAAACAAGGCTACCATGGAACTGTAAAATCGCGAGACTATAATTCATTTTTCAGTTTGTTCTATTGCGCTCATAAAGTAAACATTTATGACTGGGAAAAAACAATTTTAAATTTAAAAGGAATCTAATTAATACTAATGCAGCACAGTTGCCCTTGTTTTCAAGTCTAATTTAATATTTAATTATGTTTTTCCATTTGAAGGAGCACCGAAAATCTGCTGCACCGCCTGTTTGTCTGCATCGCTGGGGTGGCCGACCAGCTACAAACGAACTTCGCCTCCGATCTGCGCCAGATTCTGCGCAGCGTGTTCCTCATGAACATGTCGTCCGCTCAGGAGGAGATCGAAATACCGGAAAAGACAAAGGAGTCGGAGCTGTTCGAGTTCCGGGCATCCGAGAACGATGTGATACAGGAGAGCGCCGGCTCCAACCAAAGCATTTACTCAGCGGAGGAGGTCAATCCCGAGCTGGACAATGTGTTCAGCGCCGGCGGTGGCAGCCAGGCCACTGGCCAGCGCCATTCCGCCGGCGCCAGTATGCAGCGGAACAACACTATCGATCTGGCAGGACAGCCGGGCGAAGGAAGCCCCAGTGGACCAACGATGGCCAGCAGTCGTGCGCATGTGACGCGCAGTCGAAGTCTTGGCGATCAAGAAGTGGCCAACACGGCCACGAGCAGCAGCAACAGCAGCACCCAACTGCATCAGCAGGAGCAGCAGCAGCAGCAGTTGCAGATCCAACTGCAGCGACAACGCAACAATTCCGTGGGCAGCAACACGCCCTCCAGCGCCTCCTCAACCAGTTCCAGCTCCGAGCAGAATTCGCCGGTGAGTGCCAGGAGCGGCAGTCGCCGGCGGCTGCAGAGCAACAACGAAACCCAGATGCCCTCCTCGGCCACGTCCGCCACGTCGGCCACGCTCTCTCCGCCCGCCTGGATACCCGACGGCAAGGCGCCACGATGCATGGCCTGCCAGACGCCCTTCACTGCCTTCCGACGGCGCCATCATTGCCGCAACTGCGGCGGTGTCTTCTGCGGCGTCTGCTCCAATGCCTCCGCTCCGCTGCCCAAGTACGGACTGACCAAGGCGGTGCGCGTCTGCCGAGACTGCTATGTGCGCGAGGTACGCTCGGGACTGGGTGTCCAAGGTGTCCAGGGAGTGCAGAGTGTACAGAGCGTCCAGGCCACCGCCTCTTAGGATTGGCCAAAGGCGCTAGCCGGCGCAGCTGACGACCAAAAATGTGGCCGAGATGGAGACGGAGGAAAAGCAAACTGTGACTCGCAATTGTTCCGCAAACAATGTTTTCTTTATTTTATACGTAATCCTAATCCCATTAAAACTGGGCCCATGACCACAGCCAGGGCCCGAGTATATAGATCACATATAGTATATATATATCTTAAATATATATAACCATAGCTATATATTTTTTATTTCCAAAACCAATTGACCAACTGAGCGTCTATCAAAGCTGCGATCCGAACCACAACGACATTTGTTCATATCAAAAGATAGCGCCAGCTTTAAGTTCGGCTTGCATTTTTACAAATATCACATTTTGTTATCTGTTCTTCGTTTTGTTCGTTTTGTTTTGGGGCTTTGGGAAGCACCTTTTAAATCTAAATTTAAATGTGTGGACAAGAATGTTCTACGCGTTAGCTTTAACCTTGCAAAATCCTTTGTCACTAGCCAAGGCCTTACTATATTGCAGTTAGAGTTATATAGATAAATGTATATTTTTCTAGCGTTGAGTATCATTGTGCGAGTGGGAGTGGGAGTGGGAGTGTATCAAGCGGATTAGTAGACGTTAATTGTAGCAGAAATTTTTGCGAAACATTTTTGTGATTTATCGTAATTTTATATGTATTAATTCCCTTATGTTAAAGCGTTTCTATCTGACCTAGCTGGAATAAATAAGTACGTAGATGTATGTGGCAAGATGAAATCCTTAAATTGAAATTCAACAATAATAACAACTATATTACCACTAAAGATAAACATATATATATAAATATATATATTTTCTGATTCAAACTTGTATAAAGAGTGTAACAAAAGAGAAATCTGTAAATTGAGTTTAAGAAATATACGCAATTTTATGCTTAAATAAAATAAATTAATTCAACTGAATGTTTTCATTACGATTTTACGATTGATGTGATTCCTGATCACAATGTAATTCACTTAAACGTCACACTGATACAGTTTCCTTCCCGTTTAATTTTAATTTATTTATTTTGTTTGGTTTCTGGAGGACTTCTTCGTTCTTCTGTTGATTAATTGTTCCTTTGTTGTTGATTGATACCCTTAAGATGTCGGTTGTACAGCGCAAGTTGGTCAATTTCCCGAAGAGTGAAAGGGCCATCTCTGCTATTTCCAAGTCTTCTTCGACGGTGGACCTGGAGGAAGTATTCCGTGATAGTATAGAACCGGCCCAACTAAACCTGGTTCAAGATCTCGACGAGCAGTTCTTCGCCAACTCCTACCGACTGGTGCAGAATGTCAGCGATCGCCACCCCACCCTGGCGGCCAGGTTCAAGTTTTTCGTTGACATCCTTTATAGACTCCATGGCCACTACATCGCCGCAGTGGAGCAAGGCAAAGCGATGCAGTTGAAGGTGCAATCGGCGGATGAGAAACTGCAGCTGGCCCTGCAGACCACGTCCACCTCGGAGGCGATGATGGAGCACTTGCGCGAGTCCCTGGAGGACGCCTGGCGGAACGAGGATGCCACCAAGAATCGCGAGGAAACCATGCAGCTCCAGCTGATGAAGCTGGTGCGCAGCGATCAGCCAACTCTGTTCAACAGCGCTCTGCCGGAACAGATGGCACCTACAGCGTGAGTTTGAGACAATAGATGATCAATAGATAAATCTACCAAATCCTGTATCGAGTTTTACTCAAATAGAAATGTGTTTTTACCTGCAGGAAGGACTCCCCCATCCGGAGCTTGATCTATCGGGAGCGCGATCGCCTGGCCGGCGAGCTGAAGGACTACCAGAAGCGTCTGAACATGAACCGCCTGTACTCCGAATCAGTGGAGGGTATGCTGGAGGTATCAAAGGAGACGATTGCCAAGCTCAATCAGCGGGTGAAGGTGGCCGAGTCGGAGAACTTTCGGTTGGAGCACAAGTGCAACAAGGAGCAGGAAAAGTACGAGGAACGGCTGTTGCACATAAACAAGGAGTTGGCCCACGTGTTGCAGCAGAACCAGGAACTTGTGGTATTGGAGAAGGACTTGGCGGAGCTGACCGCCGCCAACGAGGCACTGAAGCAGCGCAACGATCGTCTCACGCGGGAAAACTATAACTTTTCGAAGACCTACCGCCTGCTGGAGGACGAGAAGCTCAAAATGCAGACGAGCCTCAAGATGGCCGAGGATTTGAACAATGAACAGAGACGGGACAATGCCGATCTGGAATTCGCCAGCCGCACTGCCGAGCGGAACGCCAAGAAGTTGGCCGTCGACTCGCTGGTCCTGGAGCGACGTTTCATCCAGCTGGCCAAGAAGAACTCGGAGTTGAACGCTCAGGTCCTGGCTTATCAGTGAGTAGCATAAATAATAAACAATATAATGTTGTAGAAAAGAAATCTGTTGTGAATGCCGGAAACCCACATTCCAGAAGTGAGATCAAGGTTCTGGAAAAGAAAATCATGGTGATCACTGGCAAGCTGGACGAGGCTATCCAAGAGAGGGACGACATGACTCGCGCCAGGGACAAGCTGAGGATAGAGAACACCCGTCTCAACGACATTGCGTCCGGAGTGCGCCACGAAATCGCTGTTGTTCGCCATCAAATGCAAGACCTGCAAAGCAATGTTAACCGGGCCAACACTCAGCTGGACGAGAGGGACCTGCAGGTGCAGAAGATAGTCCGTGAGAAGAGGGAGCAGACCTTGGAGCTCAACGACGCCTACAAAAAGATCGATGGCATCGAGGGTGGATATGCCATAAATAATTATTTTAAGCACAACATAAACTGCTTCTCCTTCCAGAGGCTCTGTCCCTGAAAACGGAACGCGTGGAGGCACTCCAGCTGGCACTGCAGCAGAAGCATCAGGACTTCGCGAACGCCAAGAAGCAGATGGAGACCATTCACTCGGAAAAGGTGCTGCTGATCAAGACAATGGACATGTGCTCGCGGGACCGCTCCACGCTGCAAAGCACGATGACCAAGCTGACGCACCAGATCAACCAGATGACCGCCTCGCTGGCCATCAACGAGAAGGAGATCTCCGGTCTGGGCAACCAGATTGAGCAGCTGAACCGCACCGTGAAGCAGAAGCAGAACGAGATCCATGCCAAGGGTCGCCTGTTGGCCAGCACCCGGTCCGATCTGCGGGAGACGAAGTTCCGGCTGGAGCAGTCGCAGCTCACCATAGATTCCGATGAGAAGCGATTCAAGACCATGTCCGCCGCCCTGGAGGAGGTCAAAAAGGAGAAGAGTCTGGTGGGCCTGCAGATGGTCAGGCGGAACGATGAAGTGCGTCTGCAGAGGGAGAAGCTGGAGATGATGCAGAAGGCCATCGATCGGGGTACCTTGCAGTACAACCAGAGGCTGGAAGACATCCGCCTGCTCAAGCTGGAGATTGTCAACCTGCGGATGTCGCGGGAGTGCATGCAACGCGAGGTGGGCAACCGGGCGACCATGCGCCATCACGTGGTCCGACTGGAGCGGCAGCTCAACCAAGAGCGGCTCAGGGTATCCGCCTACTCGGAGGAGTTGGCCCGCCCCTGTCGCATCCACCGCTGGCGCGTCCTGCTCGGCAAGGATCCGCGTCGCTTCGAGCTCATCCGCAAGGTGCAGCACCTTCTGCGCCGGAACATACGCCTCTCCGTGGAACGGGAGAACACTGCCAAGGAGCTGGAGGACCTGAAGCGCCTGCACGAGGAGTTCAAGCGCCAGATCAAGAACCTGCCCGATCCAAGTGTGCGCCAGAAGCTCTGTCTCCAGCAGCGCATCAATCGCCGCCAGAGTCGCCAGCTGAAGGTGATGAAAGCCGAGCTGAGGATCAATGAGATCGATCTGAAGGCGCGGGAACACCTGATAAAGGGCTTCCAGGAGCAGTTGCGATCGCATCATCGGCAAAATCCGCAGCTCTTCATTGGCGGCGGGGATGCAAAGGATTCCACCGCCGAGACAATCGACAGTAACTACCTGGAGCATATATTCGATTTCTCCTCAGCCTGCGGATCTAAACCAACGTAGTGATGGTGTCTATATGCTATAAACATCGAGGTATCTTTTACACTTTGAAACAATTAAAGGGAAACCTTTTTTAAATGTTTATCTTTCTTTCTGTCTTTATGGTTAAAGTAACTTTTATTTTGGTAGTATTCCTGTTATTTAGAGTAAATTACTAACCATCTTAAAACCTGCTCCCAAAGTTCTTGGCAGTTGGGCGGGTGCCGAATAGCAGTGCATCTGCTCCAGCAACTGTCGCTCCTCTAGGAGTTTCTGCTTGTGCTTCTTTTCCTCCAGAAGCTGGGTTTTGGTCAGCGCCAGATTTACCCTCATCTCCTCCAGCTTCTCCTTCTTGGACCTCTCGTCTGCCTCCCTGGCACTTAGTTCGGCCTTCAGGACCTTCAGTTTGCGATCCTTGGCGGATAAATTAGCCTGTTCGGAGTTAAACAGAAGAATGTAGGGTTTAATACTTTTAAATTCAATTAACTTCTGACTTACCTTAACGCTGTTTAGCTCCGCTCGGACTTTGTGACTGGGCAGCTTGAGCATGAACTCGCGCAAAGCTGCATATAGCTGTTGGGATTCGTTCAGGGCTCGCTCCTGCTCCAAAGCAGCCACGTTCTGCTGGAGCAGCTGCTTGCGCAGGATACTGATACGACCCAGGAGATCCATCTTCTCGGGATCCTTGCCGCTCAGCAGACGCCAGCGATGGACGTTCATGGGCGTGACCATCTCATCCTGCAGGGCACGCGCCTTGATCCTCTCCTGGTTGAGCATGCGGTGCATTTGGAGGAGCTCCTGGCGCAGATCCGCTGCACTCTCCCTATCCGCACGCAGGACATCGCGTTCCGTTCGCAAATTCTTGATCTCCACGCCCATCAATCGCATGTCGTCCTGGTACTGGCTGCACTGCCTCTGGGTCTGATCGTACACCGTTTGGAGGTTCTCCTGGCTGTGCTTCAGTCGCTCGAACTCCTCGTTCCGCTTGGTCAGCGCCGCACTGATCGCGTTCTTCTCGTTCATCAGGTTGTCCACATCCTTGCGCAGGCGGGCCAGCCTTTGCTCGTCCTCCTGCAGCGACTTGGCATGCCGATCGTTCTCCTTGCGCTTGTCCAGCAGCTCCGCCTTGGTGTGCTGCTGACCCAGCTGGGCGTGGCGGATGTCGTTGCGCAGCAGGCGTCGCTCCTTCTCCATGCGATCGATCTGCAGCTGCAGCTTGGACAGCTCTGCGTCCCGGTAGCCGATCTTCGCCTTCAGTTTCTCCACCAACGCCTGCAAGTTGACCAGTTGGTCGCGAAGTTTCTGGCGCTCCTCGTCGGCCACCTGGACACTGCGCTGAAGGGTCTGGCGTTCGCCAGCCAGGACATCATGCTGTTGCTGGAACTTCGAGCACTTGGCCTCCAAATCGCTGATCGTGCGCTTCAGTTCGATCTCGTAGTTCTCCTTCAAGTGCATCTCGTCTGGGAAAAAACAGATTTGATTTTACATTTTAAAGTAAATCCTTAAACAAGAAAAATAGCAAATTTCGGAAAGCCAAACTTTTTAAAAAAGATGAAGCTTTCTCGCTTTTACGCAGCATTTATTAATCGTTATATGATATCGTAGGTCGATTTAAGTAAAATAATTTATATATATAATATAAAAAATATAACATCGTTCAATTCGCTATAATATTCAATATGCAAATCGATTGGCATTTACAGTTAAACAATGTTTTTTAGATCAATTTTCACAATCACTTTCCTAGTGATCTCGATCAAGAATATATATACTCTATATAATCTTGTCTGAAATTATAATAAAAACCTACTTTGAAGCGCATCCAACTTGTCTATCCAGTGCTGAATCTCGTCCAGCTTCTTGGTCTTCTCCTTCTTCAGCTTGCTGGCATCCTCGTTGAGTTTCTTCAGCTTGGTGTCCATGGTGGTGATGGTGTCCTTGAGAGCTCGCACTTCGTGCTGCGCCTCTTGATGCAGGGCGTTGCTCTGCTCGAGTTGTTGGTGACTGGCCTGCAATTCGCGCCTCAGGGAATCCCGCTCCTTCGTCAGATTCTCGTTGTTCTTCTCGAAATGGTGGACCACGCGGCGCATGGACTCCAGTTCCTTGTCCTGAGTGCCCAGCTGAGTTCTGTAAGAGTGTTTTGTTCTAGTAGAATTACGCTTTTGAAAATAGGGCCCATTACTTAAGTCTTATGTTCTGCTGCTCCACTTCTCGTTTGGATTCATCTAGTCCGGCGTATTTCCGAGCAATTGTCTCCTGGGACTTGGCCAGCTTGCCGTTGTCCTGGCGAACCTTAATCAGCTCATCCTCGCGCACCTTCAGCAGATTGATGCGTTGGTTCAGAGCCCGCTTATTCTTATCCCGCTCCTGCACTGTGTACTCCAGATCCACTGTGATCTTGGCTAGCTTATTGTTGGTGGCGTTGTGCTGGGTATTCAGATGTTCCAGGTTCGTCTTCAGGGACAGAATCTGCAGGTTCTGACGCACTTTCACTTTGGTCAAGTGCTCGTTGGCCGACTTCATTTGGGATATTTGCTCCTGGTAGCGGGACTCTTCGCTCTTCATCGTGGAAACTTCCTTGGACAAGGCATCGCTTTTACGTTTCAGGTTGCAGGCATCGCTGGAGGTTTCCTAAATATAAAGAATACGAAAGTTAACGAACAAGTTTAGGTGTTGTAACATTGAGAGGGCAACCAACATCTAGTAGCTTCAGTAACTCCTTGTTTTTGGCCTCCAATCCCTCGATGGTACTGTCCAATTCCGTGGCATATGTCCGTTGCAACTGCAACCTCTTGTTGAGATCGGTGATCTCGGCTGTTAGGCGTTCCCGTTCCTTTCCATCATCACGTTTGCTCATGGCCAGTCGCTTCTCATTGAGATGGGCCACCATTTGCTCCGATTCGTCCAGCTTTTCACGCAGACTCAAGACCTCATCCTGGGCGGACTGTTCTCGGATCTGAGCAGCATCCTTTTGCCTCCAAGCACCCTCTGTTCATTTAGTTTAGTGACTGTTTGCTATTTTAAATTAGTTTCAGTTTAGTTACCTATGACTCCTCGAAGCTCCTCAATGGTGGCCATGTCCATTTTGGTCACACGGGCTGCATTTTCCAAGCGTGCCTCCAGGCTTTCGATCTCCTTTTGCAGATCCTGGGAACGTTCCTTCTCCATCCGCAGATCGCTTTTGTAGCGCGTTCCACAGATAAGCAATCTCTGGACATTATCCGCATTGTTGGGGGTGTCCTTTTGACGCAGAGCTTTCGTTGCCTTCGGACAATAATTAAATATTAATAATTTCGATTTGTTTTTAATCTTTTAAATTTTAACCTCCGGGATCTTATCGCATAACTCCTTGAAGAAGTCATCATCGAAATCATCTGGAACCAGCGGCTCATCTTCTGATCCGGAAGCCTTCGACATCTTTAAGTTCTAAGGTCCTAGGCACATTATTGACCAAACCCAATGGCGTAACCTTGTCCTGGCAACAAGTTGCCATACCGGCATACAAGCTGTCAAGGGCAACACAACAGGTACGTTTGTTTTCTGGAATCTTTTTTGTCTTTATTAAGCTGGCATGTATAAAAAGCGTCATTGTGCTCTTAGTAGCTATGGAAACAGAGCACATGCCATGGCATTATCATGTGAAGTCGTGTATTTATTGCTAGTTAGTTTATAAATCTCCTAGTGCTTTAAGTAAACTTTGGAATCATCATAATTACCATTCTATATAAATAACTAAAGACAAGCAGTTGGTTGACTCGCTAAATTTGCTACTTTGAGCTTAAACTTAGACTACGAACTTAGAATTGACTGGTTGACATCACAATTGCTTCGATGTTGGAACTATGGCCACTCATCCTCGAAAGGCGCATCGTTTACAGTGTGGAAACTTAGGCCAGTACCTTCTGGCTTGTGCCACGAGGGCAGCAGAACAGTTCGCCAAAAAGATCTGCAAATAAGACTTGGTAGGAAACTGGATTTACCCAAGGAAACCCAACCTACCTGCCTCGCACCAGACCCAAAAACAGTTTCCAGTTCTTTTTGGTGCCAAAGTTATAGGGATTGATGTAAATGCGTTGCTGCTGGAGCAGTCGCCTCCGCTCCGCTTCGTTGATGTGGGCCTCCACACTTGTCTCTCCGCGAGTGATGAGTTTGGCGTGCCAAATGGTGAGGCTTCCAAGAGCCAAGACCACGGACACATTCGTGAAGGCCATGAACCACAGGGCTCGTCGTCGACCAGGCGAAGGTGCATCCGTATCCACAATGGGGGTGGGCAGATTGTGTACCGCAGCCGGCAGCATCAATTCATCGTACTCATGGGGATGTGTCTAAATAAAACAATCTTTTAATTTGAGTGCCTAATATATTTAAGTTACTAGCTTACCACTGGAATAATATGCCCACTGAGGTTATACTTAACTGGCTGTCCCTCTAGTGGCTCAATCTCCGTCCAGGCTTCGCCGTTATCCAGCCACAGGTATTTATGACCGATCTCCAGGCCAAACAAAATGAGAAACAGGCAGCCCAGAGTGGTGTACATCATGTAGAGAAAGAAGTACCGATGATTGCCATAGCCCACACAATTGTTAAGCCAGGCTAGAGGTAAAAATGTTTATTCTAAGGGTCTTTTGAGAGTTCACATACTCACGGCAGTGGTGATCCATCTTGAGGATGCAGCGATTGCAGACGGAGCAGTGATGAGTCCTTGGCGGCTTGGGGGATATGCACTTGCCGCACATGCTGACCGCCTCAACCAGCGACACACCTTCCGGCGGATGACCAGCCGGCGTGATCACAGCCATGATGTAGTGGAAAACCACATTGAGCAGCAACCAATTGCCCACGACGAGAAGAAAATAGGTGACTAACTGGCTTTTGGCATACCAAAAGGGCAAACCAATCCAATAGGCAATACTGACTACCGAGGTGGTCAAGGCAGCCACGCCTACCACAAAGAACTGAAAAGAAAACTGAATTAAGTATCCAAATTGACTCTTATGTAGGATAGTGTTACCGGTCCCAGGCAGTGAGTGTAGTTGTCCACGAACCAAAAAATTGGGGTCAAACAGACGTCGGAGGCGTAGGAGGAGTTCATGTGGGCATTGAAGGTCAGGGAATGCCAGCAGTGTTTCATGTACGACCAACGAAGCCGACAAATAGAACTGCATAAAAGTAAACAATAAACAAAAACATTGGAGGTAAGTGATCCAATTGGAAAGTGAGAAAAAGATTAGCTTACAGCAGCTCTTGACTGGAGTGCCCTCGCCATGTAATGCGCGCCATTTGACAACCAGGGGCTTTATGCTTTTTCTATAATTTGTTTACTTTGTTACAACATTTTGGTCGTTAAAAAAACTTTATTTTTGGCGATAGAATTTGCAACCGCTATTTTGGTGTGACCCTCAATTCGTTTGGGGGAAATCTCCCTCTCAGCTGTTGTCTATCGACATGTAGGCCGTTATCGGTTTATTGGGCTATCGTATCCTGCTCACCCCTAATTTGTTTTGCATTTTCCGGTGAAATTGTTGAAAAATTATATTTTCGACATGCGTTCACGCAGCAGGAGTCGCAGCAGACAAAGGGAACGCCGCAGATCCGATTCCAGAGATCGTTCCCGCTCGGAAAGAAGGCCAAACCACAAATCGCAGCAACGGCGATCGGTTTCGCGGGAGAGGGAACGAGACAGGGAGTGGGAGCTACGTAGGGAAAGGACCTCAAATCGCAGCTCGCGTCGCTCCAGGGAAAAGGACGCAGTGCCTCGTCGACGTAGAAGCCGCTCCTCCTCCCCCAGCAGCTCCAGCACCAGCAGTGGCAGTTCCAGTTCATCTAGAAGCCCCTCCAGAAACCGCAAATCCCGGCCAAAATCCGTGGAACGCTGGCCCAACGATCGTTTCCACGAAAACAACGATAGGCGGCAGAATCCCTTTCGGGGAAGGGCTCCCGAAGGCAGTTTCATTAATGACCCAGCAGAACCATCAACAAGATCGCAGCACCGTGGTCGTGGAGCCCCTAACCACCAGTCCAAAGGCGACTCAAAGGCGGTAAACGCCCGCAGGAACCAGAGGGTACGCATCGGCGAAGAGGGTGTGCCAGATGTCTGGGGCAAGAGCCCATCCCGGCCAGAAAGCGACGACGTGGAGCTGGTCAAGGGCTCCTACGTAGGACCCAAGAAGAAAAAGAAAAAAGGCAAGAAGAAACACAAAAAGTCTGATAAGAAATTCAAGAAAAAATCTAAGAAAACCAAGAAGAAAAAGAGCAAGAAGGAGTCCAGCTCTTCGGAGGACTCCTCCTCCAGTTCATCCAGCAGCGAGGATAGCAGTAATGACTCCAGCAGCTCAAGCTCCAGCTCCGAAAGCGAAAATGAGTCCGAGGTGGAAGATGTTTGGCTGGAAAAGACCGCCGAGGGCATCAAGAAACCCAAGAAGAAAAAGTCTTCGGCAAGCAAAAAGGATAAAAAGTCAAAAAAGAAGAAAAAGAAGAGAAAATCGGAGGCGGATAAGTCCAAGAAGAGCTCATCATCTAGTGGTAGCAGGTCGAAGACCAGGGACAGTGCGTCCCACAACGACGAAGATGTTGGTCCATCGCTGCGAACCGGCGGTAGCCTGAATCAAAAGGATTTCGGTAAGGCTTTGCTGCCCGGAGAAGGTGCCGCCATGGCTGCCTATATAGCAGAGGGCAAGAGGATTCCCCGCCGTGGTGAGATCGGCCTGACCTCCGATGAGATCGCCAACTTTGAGTCCGTGGGCTATGTGATGAGCGGCAGCAGGCATCGCCGCATGGAAGCGGTGCGTATCCGCAAAGAGAACCAGTTGTACTCCGCCGACGAGAAGCGGGCTCTGGCTATGTTCAGCAAGGAGGAGCGACAGAAGCGCGAGAACAAGATCCTCTCGCAGTTCAAGGACATGATCCACTCCAAGCTGCAGGCCAAAGACAAGAAGTAGGCGAACCATTTTTCGCATTTGTGGATACGAGTTTAAGACTTTGATTGAACATAAATCAAACGCACATTTAGACGGACAAACTTGCACCTCCGAATGATCAACATTTCATGAAATTGTGAACATAATTTATGTAAAAAAATAAATGGCATAATTAAGAAATTGTGAACAGCAGTCAAACTTTTGTTACCTATTTTTTTGGGTGTAAACGAATCATGCATAACCTTTTGAACGTTTTTTTTTTCCTAAAATAGCTTGCCAAATAAAATGATTTGATACGAATTAAAAGGAAATGGTATAATACAGAAAAAAGGGTTTATATTTGTAAAATAACTTGTTCTTATATTAGGAAGATGCTAGAAATAAATGAAATAAGGTTAATAAGACCGAATTTATATTTGTCTTTGATTTAAAATTTGAATAATTGACACCCTGTATCCGGCATTAATGTACCCCCGCGAATGTTGGCATTTATAGTTACCCAGAACTTGGTCACACTGCCGCGATGCTTGAGAAAACGTGGGGTTGAAAAACCTTTGACCGAAGCTGTGCCAATTCCACAATCAAACCGCAAATTTTGCAAAACACGGCGGTAACCTCGATGTCTGCACTTGCTTACCAGACACATTAGCCGAATTTCGCGCGACAGAGTGTAAATTTTCGTTCAAATCGCGAGTTTAATGTGCGAAAAAAATCATCTGGAGGGGGGTGGTGTTGGTGCGAGCGAGACGACAGCAGGCGAAGAGCGGAGCAAAACAAACTAACGCTAACCGGCAGGAAAGAACAAGAGATAAAAGAGAAGGAGATAAGCCGAATACAATTGAAAAATTCATTAATAAACATACATATACACACGGAAGAACACCCACCAACACATTCGCCTCGTTTAATCAATTAACGGGACATCGGCCGAAGAAACAGTTACAGTCCGTTTTCAGACGTCGCGTGCGAAGATTGTGTCACCGAGCTGCGGGATAATAACAATATAATTCCTGGTTATAACATTAAATAGCCGCCATGCCCGCCATCGATGAACTGCAGTCGCCCTCGAGCGAAATGGTGCTACTGACGCCGAGTTCAGGAAATCCTCCCTCTATCTTGGCACATCCTGAACTTAATCCACCCGAGAAATCGCAAGGTCGCGAGGGATCCGCCGAATCCGATAGCAGTAGGGTTGCGATCAAAAAACAGCTGGGCCTTCTCGAAGGCGTGGCCATTATCCTGGGCATTATCTTTGGTTCCGGAATCTTCGTGTCCCCGAAAGGCGTTATCCGGGAGGTGGAATCCGTGGGCGCATCGCTAATCATCTGGATTCTGTGCGGCCTACTGTCCATGATAGGAGCTCTATGCTACGCGGAACTGGGCACTGCCATACCCAAATCCGGCGGGGATTACGCCTATATCTTCGAGGCATACGGATCACTGCCGGCATTTCTATATCTCTGGGATGCCATGATGATATTCGTGTGAGTTTCACTAGGGTTCCAAAGAGAGTTCTGGACTCAAATAAAATAATAACCAATACTGCATAAATATTTATAAATGTGTTGTTCAAATATTTGTGAATTGTGTATTGCGCCGGTACACTTCCCTTATCTACATTTTCTTTAAAAACCGTAAAATAGTGTGAAATTACCTACAATAATCGATTTCTAATTATGTTCCTAATAATCCGCTTCAAGTATTGATTACAATAGAATATCATGATTCGGGTTTACTTTGAAACTTTTTACTCAAAACTGATTTGAGCTATACCTCAATATTTGATCATAATAACAGAAATATTTGCTCACATAAGTTAAGTACTTCCTCAGCTCCAGACACTAAAAACTTATTTTTAGACAGGGTCAAGTTCAAAAACTTTCCTAGATAAGAATAATATAACAGGAATACCTTCGGTTTAGTGTGGATGTAGTCTGTTTGTTAAAGTTAAGCCATGGGTTTTATATTATATGAAAAGTGAAATCAGCCTTATCCCGTAATCTACACTCCATAAATTTGTTTATTGGGTCTGTTCCGCGAGTGCTGCATTGACCGTTTTATTTGCTGCTATTTTTGCCATTTAGGATCGGCGATAAGCGCAAATATCTGCTTTTCCACTTTTGCATGTGAAGATAATCAGCGTAAATATGTGTGAATGCAGTCTGCGTAAATTTTCCACTGATTGTGTGTTCTTATCTCTTGCAGACCCACAACCAACGCCATTATGGGCCTGACCTTTGCCTCCTATGTGCTGGAACCCTTTTTCGGCGGAGCCTGTCACATTCCCCAGATAGCCTTGCAACTGTTGGCCGCCATTACCATCTGCTTCCTCACTTACCTGAACTCGTACTACATGAAGGTTACCACCAAGATGCAAAACATCATTATGTTTACCAAAATCGCTGCCCTAGTGATGATCATCATCGTAGGCCTGGTCTGGATGCTGATGGGCAATGTGGAGAACTTCACCAGACCCTTTGATAACACTGAGACTGATCCCGGCAAGATGTCGGTGGCCTTTTACTCCGGCATCTTTTCGTATGCCGGTTGGAACTACTTGAACTTTATGACGGAGGAACTGCGGGATCCCTATCGCAATTTGCCGCGCGCCATTTACATCTCACTGCCGCTGGTCACCGGCATTTATGTGCTGGCCAACGTGGCTTATCTGGCCGTGTTGTCGCCCTCCGAGATGATCGCCTCCAATGCCATCGCTGTGGTAAGAATTTAGCGACCCTGTTCCAATCAGATTATGCGCGAATCGAGTAGGACTCTGGCTTATCAAAAATCCAGTTAAATGCTAAACTAATTTGTTTTTATGATTTTGTTCTCAAACCATGCTCATTCTTAATTTAAATTCCTATAAGAAAAAACTTAATTTCCTGTTTATGTAAATATACTTTATAGATTTACATCGCAATTTACTAGGTTTTAGAAAAGTTAATTTATTTGATCGGAAAAGGCAACAATAGTGTACAGCTTAATTAAACCAGAACGGCTTTTCAAATGATTTTAATTGATCTCCTCTCTCCACAGACCTTTGGCGATAAGATTCTTGGCGCCTTCTCGTTCGTCATACCAGTCATGGTGGCTATCTCCGCCTTTGGCGGCCTGTCCGTCCACATCATGACCTCCTCCCGGATTTGCTTTGTGGGTGCCCGGAACGGACACATGCCGGCGATTTTGTCGCACATCAGCGTGAAGAGCTACACGCCGCTGCCGTCACTCGTTTTTCTGGTGAGCTGCGCCCCTCAATTAGCGCACAAATGTTGTTATGTAATTAATCCCTAATTGATATGGCTGTGTCCCTCTCGGCAGTGCTTCCTCTCCATTGTGATGCTGGTGGTGAGCGACGTGTATGTGCTGATCACCTACGCCAGCATTGTGGAATCGTTCTTTATAATGTTGTCCGTGTCAGCGGTTCTATATTTCCGCTACACCCGTCCCTGCATGGAGCGCCCAATTAAAGTGAGTGTAGCGTAATCAGTGTTGCCGATTTAGATATTCTTTAGCCGAATCAGGTTACTTGATCTTTACTTGTGCTTTTAATTTTCATATTTCTTAGAAAAATTTTAAATAATTTCAAAACTTATTATAAACTAAAATATAAACCACAACAATTTGATGATCAACAGTTTTCTAGCTTATTGAAAAAGAAGTGTGGAATATTTTCTAAGCTAATTATTTATTTTAATATTTTAATTATTGATTTGTCAGTTGAAATTAACCTTTATATGGCAACACTGATCTGTATGCATATTATTTTGTATAATATATTGTTATTGCTGTCGCTTTACAGGTCGCTTTGTGGATACCCGCCCTATTTGTCATAGTTTGCGCCTTTCTAGTCGTCGTGCCCATCTATGTGGCGCCCTACGAGGTCGGTATGGGGGTATTAATCACCCTAATTGGCATACCCTTCTACTACGTGGGTGTCGTGTGGAAGAATAAGCCGAAATGGGTGCAGCACACGATTGGTGAGTATTCCTCAACATTAACCCCAATGTGTGGCACTGACCGACATTTATATGGTTTTCCCTTCTAGACTCGCTGACCTTCACTTGCCAGAAGCTCTTTATGTCCGCCAAGGAAGAAAAACAGGACTAAACTGCCACCAGAGTGAGCCAAAAAAGGGAGAAAGCAGAACTTCCAAATGTCAGTCTATTAAATCTCTATATCCATGTGACCTCTTAAGCGGGAGAACTTTAACTCGTTGAACCTGAATACCAAAAACAGAAATTGTCTATAAAAAGCGAAAAGTAAGACCTGTACATCACAAGGACTGGAGCACGAAGTCAATCTTATTTCATATGTCTATATTTATAAACCATGACAAAAGCGTTTACCTAAAGTGCAAACTCATCGAATAGTAGTTTAGTTTTGACTAAGAGCTTAGCATTCATTTTGCACTGATTTTGTAAATTCTATACCAAAGTAAGCCAAAAACTGTTTGCCAAAGTTGCGATATTTAGCTCGATATTTGCCATATTAAGCAGTTTCTTACCATTTTCTGTTGCTTATTGTTTAAAATTCAGTTATTACATTGTTTTTGTCCCTCATTTTACTACCTAAGTGCATTGAAATTTTGTAATAAAGATTTTTGTACGTTTCAACGAGCTTTCTTCAATCATTTAGACTCTCCCCGCGAAAGTATGCAACGAGATGTGGGCAAAGATAAACCAAAAACAATTGATAAGGTTGAATTGATTGAGCATTGCGTGGGATCTAAGCCTTTACGACTCGATGCCTTCGCTAATCAATTAGGGCTGATAAGTAATGGGTCTATTTTAAGCCATTCATGACGGAGAAGTTGCGATTTTCGCCAAAAATAAGTCGCCGCCTGTCGCCGCCTTTGACATTTCGGACAATAGGAGGTTCGTGGAATGACGCCAGCGCTATATTCGATCATTGATAGAGTATTCCGTGCGGATACGTACCCGCGTCTAGGTGTTTTTAATTGATAAAACTGTAGCGCATATCTTGGATTCACTACACGGTTCGCAGGTGCGCCCATATATATCTAGGCGAAAACTGGGCGAGAGTAGTAGAATGATTTGTATGCGCCGTATTTGGCGTCTCGTTTAATGTCTTTTTAAGTATTTATATGCAGGGAGAACGTCTTGTTACCAGATCGCTCGTAAAATCGGCTCTATTCGATTTGATGTTTTTTTTATTATGGCCAAATAATTGAGTTATTGCGACTGGCCGAGCATCTTAAGTGCGATGGGAGGCTCCCGATCCTGGGTTGTAACTGCTTTATTAGCGATCTTAGATGATTGCTATTTCGCAAGTTGGTGTTGATATAGCCAACAGCTTGCTAAAAGGTTGCTAATTGCTGGCACGTGAGTTTCACCACAAAAGAAGCCACATTTCGCTCTGGACGAACTATTCCACATTTATTGATCGATGCGGACAGTTGACTTAGTGATCGATTCGGAGGCGTAATCTAGCAAATATTGATTTGTTCTGCTTGACGTTTGCATAATCAATTCCAGTCTAGATCAAACGAATCGGTTTCAAACGGCAGAGTTCCTTTTGAGCCAAGTTGCTCATGTGATAATCATGCGATTACCCTCTGACAAATATTGACACCTTTTGGGCAACTTTTTGAGGTCTGCACAATCGTGCTCAAACAATCAAATTAGCAATGGGAAATCCTGCTAATCACTTAGCCGAGCGGACCGAATAGAACCGGTAACTGAATTATTTGCAAAACAAGATTTACTGATTTAAATTGGAATGATTGTTAGTAGGTCAATTTTCCTTGGCCAAGCCAAATTAAATTTTAATTTCAATTACAATAATATAAAAAATTTTGAAATTCAAAAATCAAGTTAAAAGGTAAAGAAATAGGGGATTAAAATTTGTTGAAATAATTATATAATCCCATCAGTTATAAAAAGCTGTTTGTTGTTATATAAAAGACCTAAAACATAAGAAATAGTATCACATTTTACATCACTACTTTTCATTAGCTTTTATGTCGGTACCCCGACAACTGATACCCATTCTAAGCCTTGGCATTGAATGTCTGATGTGTGGTGTCTGGACAATTCAATTGCTAATATTTGAGTTCGTGTGTCTGCTCAATACCCACCATAAAGATATAAATAGATATCAGAATGCCCTCTATATATTTGCAACTGCCATATTCCCACATGTGGATCACGAACTGCCTATACATGTGAAATGACAAAATGACAACGTTACAGAACGCACAAAAACGCCAGAGATCTGGTTAAAAAACAACTGAAAATCGCTCCGAATTCCCCGGCCCGAAACTGTAAAACGTGCGAAAATCGCTCAATGAATATTCCGATTCGCCTCGGCAGCGTTCGATCGCTGCGTTTTTTTTTTTTTTGAGGACTCCGCTTTTAATTAGCAACTTTCGGCGTGACGTTGTCGCGACTCGTTGGCTTAGTAACGCCAACTGACTGGCCGAAAACAAACAAATAAATCGGTAAATTGTATGCAAAACAAAATATTATCATAAATGATCGAAGGCGGCATTAGGTGCGAATTATGACGAGTTTTACCCTTTGATTTTGGCTCACATTGATCGACATAATGACGCCCTTCTATATTTTTGGGCTAGGCGGTGCCATTGAGTTTCCGTGACGTTAAGTATACGCCGGGTGTTGTGCGTTAAGCATACGCAGGGTGCTGGAGCGGCAGGCTAGCTTTCCCCAACTTGTAACTCAATTTCGCTAAGTGGGCGACTTAGTGGGGTGGTTGTGCACTATGTACCGATCCTCCAGCCCCCCACCCCCCACCGAAATCCCATCGATCGATCGATCGTCGGCTGTTCGCGCGACTCTTTTTCGCTAGTATGGGTACCTATCTGTGTGAGCGGTGCACGCGCTTCGGGCGGGGATTTCAGCTTTCGAATTTTCAAGTAGTTCGTTGACTGCCCGCTGAGGAAGTTGTGAAGGTGCTTCGCCAGCGAAACGTCCGCGCAGTCTAGAATCCGTCACCCGATCGGAAGGTGCTATAGCCGCTCGTCAGGAGTCAATAATTGAAACATCGATTGTTAAGCAATCCACCATGAAGTTGGTCGCTTTCTTCGAGGCTTCGTTTTTACTGATCTGCTGGTCGCAAGGTAATTACCTGCAATTTTTTTCGCAGTCCTGTGACTCATTAGTGTTCGTCAAGGTTCAAACTTGGGTAGAAAACAATGTGAATCAAAACAAAAATAGCCATAAATCGATATCTATTCGCGTGAATTCTGACTTAATATCCAAGGGTAGTCATACCCCCTGGTATTTTTAAAGTCCATAAAGCTGCAAATTCTTTGCCTATATTGAATTCCGTATTTTGACATTTTATAATATTTTAATGAATATTTCGGTTTTTCATGAGATAAGACTTAAACATTTAAAAATCAAATTTATACTTTTTTTATAAATTTAAAATATGCGCAGGCTTGATTTGACACAAGTGACATATTGTTTTCTTTGTGCCGCCAGTTCTTCTGGAAACGAGTGTGACTGCTCGTATCTATTACGAAAGGCCAATACCTGATATTGGGGGGATCTTGGCATTAGCAGTCATAAGTACACACTTCACGAAACTAATTTTGACCAGTTTAATGGTGTTTATTCCACTTGAAACTGTCAATTAATACATTTTATTGGCCACCGATTGATTTAGATGTATTGCTGGACTTGACGGGAAGTTGTTAGGGTTATCTGTTTTTATTAGACATTAACACTTATAACCTTTCAAAGTGTGGAAGCTCAATAAACATTATTTACATGCCAAATGAACATATTTGACATGACATATTTATTTATTTTATTAATTACTTCGTTATTAAATGAATTTAAATTCCCTTGACTGACTTGATTACAACAAACCAATGCAAATAGCAAAAGGCATAGTAATATGTTTATAATAAACAAATTTGATGACATAATATCAAATGGCCATACCTGACAAATAATATTAATTTTAACTTATTTATTATCTAAGTCGTTGATAGCCGTGCCTGATGTCAGTAATAGTATATTTTATATATACATATTGTATATTATTACACATAAATTCTTAATTAAACTAATTCATCAATCGGCAACAATGTGCTGTATCGAGCACTTGTGTAGACTATGCCCCACACAATGGAAAACTGTGTCATATGATATGTTAATTCGCAGCAAGCTCTTCAAACTGAAATTATCACCAATCACATGCAAATTAGCCTTTAAATAAGTATTTCCTTTCGCCTTGCAAAAGATTCCATGGAATTTGCTGCCAAGCTTTCAATCGCTGTGAAAAATAATGAAAACTGTTTGCTCGCGTTATTATCTGGATCTCTATCAATATCAATCGTGGCAGTATCTAATTATTGGCCCGAACGTGCCCTTGACGTTCGCACTTTCCGGAGCTTTCCCGAGAAGCCTGTTTACCCAGTTAGTTATTTATTTGCCCAGCCATTGACTAAAAAAAGAAAGAGACCCCTTAAATATTTGTTCGCAGCCCCCATTTATTATGCCGTAATTCACAAGTGCTCGTATATGTCAAAGATAGCCCCGGAAAATCGGGAGAAGGTCAAGTGCGGGGGTGAATAGCACGGGCACGTGATCACTCATCAATCGTGGATCCAAGATCGCAGATTGTGGCTGGGTGACAGGGTGTCTACAAATGGGGAAACACTTTAATCATTTTGTCCGGTTAAGGACTAAGCTAACATTCCAGCGCCAAATTGATGGCAGATTTATTGTGGAGTGCCAGGAGACATTCAACCATCTGGCTTATTTCAACGGGATTATCGATTTTCCGTCTTATTAACTTAATTAAACTGTTCTAAATCTAAGTATGTTTCCATTTTTGTAATAGTCTATTTCACGATTTAAACAAAAATATTCCAAGTCAGTCAAGTTATATTGTGAAACGAATCGCTTAATGAGCATACTAAATGTAAATGCACGCTTTACGCTTAAATGCTATTTGCTTCAGGGGAAACTTATATTGTTTTATTTAACGTTTTAACCTTATTCACGAAACCTCCTATTAACAAACTCTTTCAGCGGTCAGCAGTCATGTCTTCGGCTACTCAGAGCCCAATCAGCGCCGCTGGGCCCGCCACCATGGTCATTGTGCGGGGAAGACCCAATCCCCCATTGCCATCACCACCAGCCGGGTAAGAGTCTGAACTTTGAGCCCAGTTAATGAGGACAATAACTATTTGTCCCATTTTTAGACGATACCTGTTCACATGCCGGCGGTGGACATGATTGGCTATCACAACCTCCTGCCATATCCTCTTAAAATGGTCAACAACGGACACACGGGTAAGAGTTTGAGGGGATACTTAAAGCAAAGAAAAAATTACCTTTATGAGTGAAGTTGTTTTAAGCGCAATCTTTTACTTTTGGAACTTAATTAAAAATGTTGGCATAAAATAATAAATTATGTAGTTTAGTTTTATAAACTTAAAATCAATGTTTTCAAAAGCCAAATAACACCTCCTGAGATCGCACTATATTAGTATGTGTTAATTATTGTTACTATTAAAATAAATTAAGCCAACCATCAACATTTTTTCATAATTATTGGTATTTCTCAGTGAAAGATGAGTGCTCATTGATTTCATCTCTTACAGTTTCCATCAACATACCCAAGGTCAATGTGACTGAGGTGGGCGAGGATTTTCTGCCCTATGTTCGGGGCGCCAAGCTGCCCGGTGAGTTTGAGCTGGAGGGCCTGCACTTCCACTGGGGCGACAAGAACAACAGGGGATCCGAGCACGTCATCAACGACATCCGCTACACCATGGAGATGCACATTGTGCACCGCAATAAGAAGTACGCCACCATTGGCGAGGCTCTGAATCATCCAGACGGTGCCGCCGTCCTGGGATTCTTCTTCAATGTGAGTGGATGTGGGTGTTTGCTCGTTTCGAATGATTTGTAAGCCCATTTGTGTTGTGCCCACAGCTCGACGAGGATGAGGGTCCGGGTCTGGTGACCATTAACCGGCATTTGCATTTGATTGCTGATGCCAACGAGGAGGCCACCCTCAACGTCACCTTTTCGCTCTCCTCGCTGATTGCTGGCGTGGATGTGGACAAGTTTTACACCTACAAGGGTAGGTACTCAAGACTTAGATAGAAATGCTAATATGCCGTAGTCTTTTTAAATTGTAACATCTAAAAAGGTGGCTTTTTCTGAGTGTAATTCTCGAGGGGAGCGCCGACTTCCAATTAAAATTCAGTGAAGGTTTCGAAAGACAATAAATAAGCACTGATTAAGTGACATCGAATTGATGTCTACAATAGATATATATCTGTGATGTCACTCAACTAAATAGTGTATTTGAAATTCACACAGGTTCCCTTACCACGCCACCTTGTTCGGAGGCCGTCACCTGGATTCTGTTCCCCGATCCCATCCCGATTTCGCCCAAACAAATCTCCCGCTTCCGCCAGCTGTCGGACACGCAGGATGGAGCGCTGGTGGACAATTTCAGGACCCTGCAGCCGGTGGGCAACCGCAGGATCTTCGCCCGCACCGGTCACGTGCGTCACACCCCGATCACAGCCCTGAAGCACGATGGCGACTATCTCAAGTACGACTGGTTCTACTGATCTATCGACTCAAACTGGCAGCCGGATGTGGATCACTGTGCCATCCCATATTAGGATACCTCTAAATTAGGCATTTATTAAGTTACACTAACATTTAGTCTAACCATTCAGACATAAAAACGTTCTAGAATCAAGAAAACTTAATTCCTTCAATGTCTGCAAAGGAGTCTTGTTCTTGAATTGGAGCAAAATAAAATAATTTAAAAATATAATACAATTTAATAGTGTTTTGGTCTTAATGCAATGTATGTCAATATAGAGGAAAGAAACCAAATCCACCTAATCAAATTTTTTTATTTCATTTTGTAGTGAATTTTGTATCTAAAATTAGCCACTAAAAACTGAATTCCACAAATATTTCTTTTACCTAACAAATTTATATGAAATTTAAATTGAATTTTACCCACAAAAATAAAACTTAAATTAATGATTTAATTTAATTAATGATTTAACGAAGGTAAAGATTTTGAAAGAGAATTTGAGAATCTACGCAATCATGTGCGATTTGCGACCATACAAAGTCAAGGAGGTGGGTATGTCCTCCACAAAGAAGCTAGCTGGAAACAGGGAAAATGTTTTGTGGAGAAGATCCAGTAGAGTTCGTTCCACGGTTTCATCCACCAGTGGACGTAGTGCTTCGAACATATCCTGCCAATTGTCGTTAAAGAACTGATTGGTGCTTTCTTCCACCTCTTTACTCTGCCCATTAAACAAGTTGTCCATTCTGGTCCGCACTTTGCCGACCTCCAGTTTTACCTTCACAGAAGTCACATTATAGAAGGTGAAGCCGCCCTTCTCGTACAGGCGGGTCTTGGTGCTCATCAGAATGTCCAGGTCATCTGTCAATTGCAATTCGTCCGGTTACTTGTTATATATTTGCAATAATCGCTTGTAATTACCAATTTCCATGACGATTTTTCCGGACCCCTGCAGGGGAACCAGCAAAATGCGACCCAACATTTTGTAATGGCCATCCATTCGCATCTTGGGCAGGTAGATCTTCGTCAGCCAACTGAAGTCTTTCTTGCTGACTCTGGATAAATAATATACATTTAAATAACATAAACAATTTTTTATATGTATTACATTTTCTGCCACAATTTTAAATTTATTCCAAATTGGAATTTGTTTTGTTAGATATTTATATTTTGAGTAATTTGAGTAATATCTTTTCTTAAGTATATAGCAACGTTATATTTTTGTGGAATGGTTTATCTTTTTGAGCTTGCTTTTTTGAGTGATAAATCTATAATTATTTTAAATTACTTAAAGTACGATTTGAAGACATTATACTTAATTTTGCTCAATGAATATAATTGTTATAAAGTTTCAAAGCTAGCTGATTTTTATACGCCCAGATCTCTTGAGATCAACTTATCAAACGATTAATGCAAACTAGTTATAAGCAGTTTTAATTGTTTTATGACGCTTTTAACTGATCCGAGTATACAAGTACTAACAATGTATCAATTCAGGTAAACCTTATATTTGGGAAAAACCCCAGACAGATGTTCGCCTATGAAAGCTCAACGACCTCAAGCGATCAGCTTTTGATCGCTATTGACAGCTGGGGAAAATCGATACTTACTTGCTCTCCTTGATCACCATTTTGCCAAAGCCGCTGATCAGCATATCGGTGAGATTTGCCGAAATGGTGGCCACATCGCTGTTGTCCTGCTTGAAGATTAGCTGATCCTGTCGCATTGGGTCGATGGGTCCAAAGGATTCTTCTAGCTCGGGTACGCCTGAAAGAAATTACTTATTAAAATGTCTTAGACTTAAGTTACTTCATATAATGATATCTCACCTTTGACAAGCTGGTTCATAAAAGCCTGTATAGAGCGTGTTGAGCACTTGGTGAACTCCGGTTCATAAATTCGGCACGATTCAATATAGGAGGCTGCAAAAGAACTATTTTCGTATTATCCTTGTGGGACAAGCAAACAAAACTGAAACTGATAAGGCTGATTAAATTTATAAAACTCTCCGTGTTCATAATGCTTTTTAATTAGAGAATGCCTAAGCGAAATGTGTTTCGCTTGTGTGTTTTTATAAAACTCATATGTTCTATTTGCAATTTTGGAAACTAAATAATTTTGATGGGTTTGTTTTCTCTGTTATTTTTCAGAGTCCATTTCCAATGTATAAAATAAAAGCCTTCTTACGCTTTTCCGTGTAGAAAGCAACGCACTGGACTCCTTGGAGACCGGCATGAAGCAGCATCAGTAAGCCAATTATGTACATGGTGGCAAGTTGTTGTCACTGTTGACACCTAGTCACTTTCACTGTCACTGTCACAGCCTGAATCACAGTTTCAATCAGGAGAGTCGCCTAATCGAGTTTAAGGCGCGCGATTTACGAATGAGAAATAACTTGGAGCGGTGCTGGATTTTATCTGGACTATATATAGCCCATGCTGATGACTAGGCTGCAATTGATGAATTGAGCCTGAAACCTCTGGGTAATACCAGAATCGAGCCATTTTTATTTACCCGCAATGCGAAATCAAATTTATTCCATATTTATTGCACGAGAGTACGATATAGGCACAGAACAAAAATGTATGAACTATTTTTGGTATACAAATAATATTGTTATTGTAAAAAAGATTTGTTTTTGAAAAATATGATCATAAAGTAAACAATAACAAAAAGCTCAAAAAAATAAGTTGATATGGAAGAAAGTACTCGTTTAAATTTTGTATTGCAAACTAGTCTTAATCTACGACTTTTGTTGCCGTGTAGCTACTGTTATTGCTGTTGTTATGCGACTCTGAAACTGTAGCGACTTCACCTTGCCACCGAACCGGTAAGTTAATTGAATATCTAGCTGGAAAACACGCTGACAACTACGGCAGCAACAAAAGCAATGTTTGCACAAATACTTATATCATTTAGCTCTGCTTCGATCTGGACAAACTTAATTGCTCGAAGTGAGGTGAAATAAAAAAATGTAGCTGCCATAATAAAAACATTAAATGGACTGGCGGCAGCATCTTGTTTGGTTTTTCAAAAAGCTAATAAAATTATTAAAACTTTGGACTGGGCTACTGTAAACAATAAGACTCTAACAATCGCAGTCTCACTGATGTCATGGTCTTAAGTCGATAGGGTCATTTCAATTGATGAGAGAAGTTTTATTTCCGGAGATAATGTTACGACTTTTGATTTTGAAAGCTTACACGATTTTTAGACAAACAAAAAATGTTTTTTTTTAATAACTACCAAATTAAAACATTTAAATTTGCTGATACTCTAAATTCCTCTAATTTGTTCAATACTCGAACACACACTGAATATTAAATTATGCATTTTGGCGACAACCCTATTGACTGATAAGTCTTTTTAAGCGGATGTTTTTTTAGAATAGCACTCGGTGGTACGGGAACGGAATTTTCCCTGCATTTGAATATTAATCTATAAAATAAGTCTTTCAGAAAGGGAGACAGGACTCTAACAATTATAAATTTAAATTGTTACTTTTTAAATATGTCTTATTTGCATTTATTTTTCCAGGCATGTTTCTAATGTACACATTATTACGTTCTCCCTACTGAGAGCTTCAAATCCGCTGATAAGGCTGCAGCTGTGATTTTGTAGGAATAAGCCTTCAGAAATGCATTATTTGTAAAGCTTTATTAAATAAATAAAGTCTCGCTTGGACTCTTGCCTAACTAGCAATATTTATATTGCGCTATCTCTCCTTTTAAAACAAAAACAATACGGTTTCGATAAGTTCCCAAACCACAAACTAAGAAAAACTGGGAATTTTGACAAAGAAAAAATGTATGTGTCGGTAACTCATTAGTTCTATAGTTGATTTATGCAAGGCATACATTAAATTAAATAAAAAAATTTAGTTTTTTGGAGTTTTCTACTATCAAATACGTAACGCCTCTCAGAGTTCCGATCCCCACTTTACAACATGCTTAGAGAACGTACTCCTCGAATTGTGATAAGATGAAGTGCCTCTTCGTATCTTACGCCGTATCTTACGCCTCAGTACCATGCGAGCTTGGAATTGAGTTCCTTTGATAAGTACTTCAGACGATCTACAGTGGTTGTTCCGTTAGCAAACCCATTGCTAGAAGTTTTTAAAAGTTCTTATTGTTATATTTTTATAACTTAATATGTTGTATTTGTTTATGGTTCAAGTGCTAAATCATGCTTTACTTCGAATTTTACCGACAGATTGTGATTCTAGCTATGGAAGCTTGACTGTATTCTGCATATGTGAGTGTGAAGGGGTATACGAGTAAAAGGCATTTGCGGACTTATTTTTGCGGATGCCTTTTAGTTACATTTTGAAATGGTTCAGAGTCAGTTGAATATTTGAAGCGAATATGTGGATCTGTAAATTAGTTATATATTCTCTGCTCTCCGGATTTGTAGCTACTCAGATTTGTGATGTTCCGTTTACAAGATATATCGGTGGAAAACGCATTGTAAGACAATTATTAAAGCTATATTTCTGTTTTCATCCAAATTACCTTTAACATTAGCAAGGCAAACGAAAGCAATGCTGCAGGGGCTACAGAAAATTAGGCACTTCCAAACTCAACTGTGTGCCAATTTGCAAAAACGCCTGCTCGAATGGCAAATGCACAAAGCCAAATGAGTGTACCTGCAATGTGGGCTATGTCAACTTAAACCGTATTAAATCAAACCGGTAGGTCATATTTGCATAATTCTATATTTTGAATTTTTATTCATCGATGGCAGTTCAGTCCTTCGATCTTTAAAAATTGAAAAATAGTCAGCAACAGCTTTATCATATTATTAACAACAAATGTTGCTAAATTAAAAGAAAACAACCGGAAAACGGATGTATAATTAAATAATTGTTTCCCTTTCCAAGCTGCTCATATTAAAATCACTCAATAAATAATTTGTTGTATGTTTTGATAAGACTTTACTGCTGATTAATGACAATTATGAAACTGTAATCTTTACTCAAAGCTCCGCTCAGCCAAGAGAGAAAAGTAATCCCCCCCAGCGCACACTTTACAATTTTCTCAATGTTTTTCAATGTTGTTTATAATAATTTATCATATCGCTCATTCCCAACAGTTGTGTACCCAATTGCAAGGGCTGCAATCATGGAGAATGCCTAGCCCCTGGCCGCTGTGTCTGTAACGGGGGCTACCAGCTGGATAGCAAGACCGGCAACTGTGTGCCCCAATGTGCCGGCGGCTGCCCCAATGGCACTTGCACTTCGCCCAACAGGTGCAGCTGCAACAAAGGATACACGCTGAATGTCACCACCCAGGTGTGCCAGCCCACCTGCGAGGATAACTGCCAGCGATTCAATGGATTCTGTGCGGCGCCCAACCGATGTGATTGCAATTCCGGCTATATTCTAAAACCGAACTCGAAAACCTTCGCCTGCCAGCCCGTTTGTAAAAATGGTTGCAAAAACGGAGTTTGCCGAGCTCCCGACGTCTGTGAGTGCAATAAATTCTTTCAGAAAGATGCCGATAAGAACTGCGCCCCCATCTGCGAGGGGGGATGCTTGAATGCAAAGTGTACGAAGCCGGACGTCTGTGAGTGCCTTCCGGGTTATACGCCAATCAGCCCAAATGTCTGCCTGGCCGTTTGTCCATCGGGCTGCAAAAACGGCGACTGCGTGGCGCCGGATGTGTGCTCCTGCCACCCAGGACACTCCAAGCTGGACGGCGTCTGCTCTCCTGTTTGCAAGGCTGGATGTGAGAACGGATTCTGTATTTCACCTGATAAATGTTCGTGCAATGAAGGATATGAGATGAATATTGAGAACAAGTGTATTCCAGTTTGCGAAGGTGGATGTGAGAACGGATTCTGTATTTCACCTGACAAGTGTTCCTGCAATAAAGGATATGAAATGGATATTGAAAACAAATGTATTCCAGTTTGCGAAGGTGGATGTGAGAACGGATTCTGTATTTCACCTGATAAATGTTCTTGCAATGAAGGATATGAGATGGATATTGAGAACAAGTGTATTCCAGTTTGCGAAGGTGGATGTGAGAACGGATTCTGTGTTTCACCTGACAAGTGTTCCTGCAATGAAGGATACGAGATGAATAATGGCAACAAATGTACTCCGATTTGCAAAGGTGGATGTGAGAACGGATTCTGTATTTCACCTGACAAGTGTTCCTGCAATGAAGGATATGAAATGGATGTTGAAAACAAATGTATTCCAGTTTGCGAAGGTGGATGTGAGAACGGATTCTGTATTTCACCTGATAAATGTTCTTGCAATGAAGGATACGGAATGAATAATGGCAACAAATGTACTCCGATTTGCAAGAGTGGATGTGAGAACGGATTCTGTATTTCACCTGACAAGTGCTCCTGCAATGAAGGATATGAAATGAATACTGGCGACGAATGTATTCCGATTTGCAAAGGTGGATGTGAGAACGGATTCTGTATTTCACCTGACAAGTGCTCCTGCAATGAAGGATACGGAATGAATAATGGCAACAAATGTACTCCGATTTGCAAAGGTGGATGTGAGAACGGATTCTGTATTTCACCTGACAAGTGCTCCTGCAATGAAGGATATGAAATGAATACTGGCGACAAATGTATTCCGATTTGCAAAGGTGGATGTGAGAACGGATTCTGTGTTTCACCTGACAAGTGCTCCTGCAATGAAGGATATGAAATGAATACTGGCGACAAATGTATTCCGATTTGCAAAGGTGGATGTGAGAACGGATTCTGTATTTCACCTGACAAGTGTTCCTGCAATGAAGGATATGAAATGGATATTGAAAACAAATGTATTCCAGTTTGCGAAGGTGGATGTGAGAACGGATTCTGTATTTCACCTGACAAGTGCTCCTGCAATGAAGGATATGAAATGAATACTGGCGACAAATGTATTCCGATTTGCAAAGGTGGATGTGAGAACGGATTCTGTGTTTCACCTGACAAGTGCTCCTGCAATGAAGGATATGAAATGAATACTGGCGACAAATGTATTCCGATTTGCAAAGGTGGATGTGAGAACGGATTCTGTATTTCACCTGACAAGTGTTCCTGCAATGAAGGATATGAAATGGATATTGAAAACAAATGTATTCCAGTTTGCGAAGGTGGATGTGAGAACGGATTCTGTATTTCACCTGACAAGTGCTCCTGCAATGAAGGATATGAAATGAATACTGGCGACAAATGTATTCCGATTTGCAAAGGTGGATGTGAGAACGGATTCTGTATTTCACCTGACAAGTGCTCCTGCAATGAAGGATACGGAATGAATAATGGCAACAAATGTACTCCGATTTGCAAAGGTGGATGTGAGAACGGATTCTGTATTTCACCTGACAAGTGTTCCTGCAATGAAGGATATGAAATGGATATTGAAAACAAATGTATTCCAGTTTGCGAAGGTGGATGTGAGAACGGATTCTGTATTTCACCTGACAAGTGCTCCTGCAATGAAGGATATGAAATGAATACTGGCGACAAATGTATTCCGATTTGCAAAGGTGGATGTGAGAACGGATTCTGTATTTCACCTGACAAGTGCTCCTGCAATGAAGGATACGGAATGAATAATGGCAACAAATGTACTCCGATTTGCGAAGGTGGATGTGAGAACGGGTTCTGTGTTTCACCTGACAAGTGTTCCTGCAATGAAGGATACGAGATGAATAATGGCAACAAATGTACTCCGATTTGCGAAGGTGGATGTGAGAACGGATTCTGTATTTCACCTGATAAATGTTCTTGCAATGAAAGATATGAGATGAATATTGAGAACAAGTGTATTCCAGTTTGCGAAGGTGGATGTGAGAACGGATTCTGTATTTCACCTGACAAGTGTTCCTGCAATGAAGGCTATGAAATGGATATTGACAAAAAATGTATTCCAGTTTGCGAAGGTGGATGTGAGAACGGATTCTGTATTTCACCTGACAAGTGCTCCTGCAATGAAGGATACGGAATGAATAATGGCAACAAATGTACTTCGATTTGCAAAGGTGGATGTGAGAACGGATTCTGTATTTCACCTGACAAGTGTTCCTGCAATAAAGGATATGAAATGGATATTGAGAACAAGTGTATTCCAGTTTGCGAAGGTGGATGTGAGAACGGATTCTGTATTTCACCTGATAAATGTTCTTGCAATGAAGGATACGAAATGAATAATGGCAACAAATGTACTCCGATTTGCAAAGGTGGATGTGAGAACGGAGTTTGTGTTTCACCTGAAAGGTGTTCTTGCAATACAGGATATGAGATGGATATTGAGAACAAGTGTATTCCAGTTTGCGAAGGTGGATGTGAGAACGGATTCTGTGTTTCACCTGACAAGTGTTCTTGTAATCAAGGTTTCGAGGTGGATAATAAGATCAAGTGTGTTCCAATTTGCAAAGGTGGATGTGAGAACGGAATCTGTTCCGCTCCCGGAATATGTTCATGCAATGAGGGATATGCCCGTGCGGGTAACGAGACTTGTATTCCAACCTGTAAGAAGGGATGTCAAAATGGATTATGTAAGTTGCCTGGGCAGTGTCAGTGTTTCGACGGGTTTAAAAAGTCGGTCGATGGTGATTGCGAGCTCCACTGTCCCAGTTCATGTCAGAATGGCAAATGCATTTCTCCAGGTATTTGCAAGTGTGATGACGGCTTTATTTTTGATGGGCAAACTGGAAGCTGTTTACCTGAGAATAAAAATTTTGTTGATATGGACTGTCAACAGTCTTGCCAGAATGGAACCTGCCTGGACGGAATATGTACGTGTGAGGATAACTATAAACTGCACAGAGATAGGATCGACAATCGAAGGCTATCCTGCCTCCCAATTTGCGAGCCTGAGTGCATCAACGGATACTGTGAAGCACCAGGGATATGCGCCTGTTTCGATGGCGAAAGTTCAATCGATGGCTATCATTGCCCATCTTTGGATTCATCCGAGGCTCTGGAATCATCCAAATATAAGAAAAAACAGATTAAGCAATTAAAGTGGATATTTGTTACCATTGCAGTGGCCGCCTTGGTATTGGCGATGGTGATTGCCATGCTCATGATGCATATTTTTAAGAAGCACTCTTATCGAGTGGACGAGAACGGTATAATATAATTTATATAAAGTATTTCTTATAATATGACCATTATTCTTTTTTTACAGAAAAGAAATTCGGCGTATACTTCTCTGCAAAAATGGCGGACATAATTCGGGCCTGATTTTTGACTAAAAACCAGCAATATTCTCATTATTTAATAAAGCGTAGAAATGAAATTAAACTAGTCGATTGCTTTCCAATTACTTTTAATTTCCAGTTTCTTACTGCCATTTCTAAATTTAAATCTTAAAAAGAATTCTGATGAACGTCTTCTTGCATCACTCAACTATTCTCTTTAACATCTGCTTTCTTGGGACCATATAGTTGCTGGGGCGTTGGTATGTCCTCTACGAAAAAGTTGGCTGGTATTAGGTGAAAAACCGTACCCATTACATCGTAGAGGATATTTTCAACCGTCTCAACGATAAGCGGTTTTAGGGCCTCATAGAAATCGCGCCAATTATCGTTAAAGAATTGATTTGTACTGCGCTCAACCTCTTTGCTGCGTCCGTTGAATAAGTTATCCAGGTAGGTGCGAACCTTGGTCATGTTAAGTTGAGCCCGCACTGCGGTCACGTTGTCAAAGGTGAAACCGCCCTTTTCATACAGACGAGTTTTTGTTAGCAACAAAATGTCAAGATCATCTATGGGAACACACATTACACATTGGTTATCATTGTATTATTATTTAAATTTAAAAGTTAATTTACCAATTTCGATGAATATTTTGCCAGAGCCACTAAGAGGTATGAGAAGTATTCGACCAGCCATTTCATACTTGCCATCCAGTCTCATTTTGGGTAGGAATATTTTAGTCTGCCAGCCAAAGTCTTTTTTACTGACACTGCAGGCAACATTCAGAATAATTATAAATATAGCAGAGTTCGTAGTTTATAATATAATGATTATTAAAATTAATAAAACATTTTTAAAATTATTAATTGCGCAGCAAGATGAACATTTAAATGCCGTTTAAAATGCAGGTTTGCTCTTTTTAATTTAGATTAAAACCCTGTTGTTTTACTTGTGTTATTTCAGCTTATTTTATAATTACCGACTCTCCTTGACCTGTGTCTTGGAAAAACCCTTGACCACCAGCTCAGTAAGATTGGCTCGGATGGTGGCTACTTCATTGTTGTCCTGCTTGAACACTATATCCCTCACTCGCATGGGATCAAAGGGACCGAAACGCTCGATCACCTCCGGTATTCCAATATTAAGCTGATCGAGAAGCTTCTGTATGCTATTCGTAGAACATTTTGTAAAGCCGGGTTCGTAAATCCGACAAGATGGCAAAAAGGCAGCTGGGAATTTATTTGGTTTTACTGAGGAAGGATTTTGGGACTCAGGGATTAACTCACGCTTCTCGGTGTAGTAGGCAACGGCTGAGACTAACGCGATGTCCAAGGCGATCTCGTTTAAGCACAAGATTGCAATTAATCCACTCCAAATGCCGAGCGATCTGCGACCATGGCGCGTGCTCCTCATGATGCCGTACTAGCGAGTGTCTAGTAATTAAGTAGTTAAGTATCTAAGTAAATAAGTAACTATTATCTGTATCTGTATCTGCGATCGCGAAAGCCGCTGCTTAGGCACATCAAACTGTGTCACGCTTAGGAACCGACTAGCCGGCGGCTGGCTGTGAGCCGGCGTTTTATTCTCACTCGCCAAGATCCGAGATCCGAACTCTCAACATGGTAGCGACTTACAAGCACTTAATGATGCCGGGGCCAAGTGGTTCTCGGTTTTTTTTTTTATTTAATTACATTTTATTTTACCCATTTCCTGAATTAATATGCGAATATATGTACAAATTATTCTTTGTCTTTGTTATACAGAGAACAAAATTTCTTTTTTTAGCTATATAAAAAAAAAACTATTAAAAATAAATAATTAATTCAAATTTTATGCAACTAATCACTTTAATTGGTTAATTTTATTTAGTTGTTAAGTGTGAATTTACAAATCGTATTCAAAATGATGTCAAAAAACTATTTAGATTTTCTTTTTAAAAGTTAAAGACATAGATTCTTTTCACTGATGTATTTAACTCATTTTAACCCTTTCTTCACTATGTTTCTATTTATTTAGTGGGGCTCACAACACACAATATATTTTACATATTTTTCCTAATGAATATTGGTATGAAGATAGATCACAAAAATATAATTAAAATTATTTTGAGCGTAGGAAATTGCTGCCACGCTTTTTACTGTGTGAGTTTTAATGGAAGTCTTTAATCAAGTAAGTGGCTGGCACGTAGGCAAACGTCTTCTTGAATCTATCCAGCAGAACTCCGCTAACAGTTTGCTCCACGGCCGGACGCAGAACCTCGTAGAAATCTCGCCAGTTTTCGTTGAAAAGAGTATTGGCTGTATCCTCCAGGTCCTTGTTGCCACCAAAGAGATTTTCGAGCTTGATGCGGAATTGCTTGATCTCGCGGAAATTGACTTTAACGCTCTGCACATTTGCGAAACTTCCCTCCGCTGTGACTTGCGGTTTAACAGCCAATTCCAGATATATCAGTGCATTTTCTGGATTGAATTGCGTCTTAGAAAATAGTTCAAAGATATACTAAAGATTGCTTACCAGCTTCAAAGTAACCATTGCCATGTCCGTTGAGATTCAGCGCCACTACATGTCCTTTGACTTTGTACTCGAAATTGAAACGCAGCTTGGGAACACTGATCAAAGCCTTGGCCACATAGTGATTGGGATCCCAACTGTGGAGTTTATGAAAATAACAAAAAATGTGACAAAAGTCATGCGGAGGTCCTTACCTGGCTTCTAAGACCACCGCTTCGCCGGCACCTGCGACGTAGACCTCCTTCAGATCGGCATTAATGGCTATAGCCCTGCTGGCATCCTGCGCGAATTTCACTCGCTTAATGTAGAGTGGGTCAAAGGATCCCACTGCATTGTTGCCAGGAATTCCATCCTTCCACTGGCGGAAGAAAGTCTGAAAGTTGCTGGTCAGGCATTTGTTAAAGCCAGCATCGCCCACAACACACGGAGTGAGAAAGTCGGCTGAAAGAAATATGTTAGAAAATCAATTTAAGGTTTCCCTATATTTATAAAATAAAGTTGGGATAATTATCCTTCAAATGGAAAAATCATTTCAAGGACATTCAAACTTAAGTCATAGCTAAATTTTATTTTTTAAAACACTTTTTGCTACTTTGCAGCAATTTCTTGCTACTTAAACTAGCAATTCCTCACGTTTTTCGGCAAGATATTTAGCCGCCACTGATGTTGCCAGGAAAAAGACAAAAAGGCTCAGAAACTTTACTACTTTGGTAAGCATATCGAAGATTTACTCCAAATTTGATGACTATGACTGCTTGCTTCGAATGCTCCGATTTAAATGACGATTCTGACCGGTGTCTGGTAATTTTATTCGAAATCATCATCTTAAATGTACAACTTTTAAAATCATTTCTTTGTTTTGCTGTTTTATATATTTAGTTTATTTATTCCTGCTCTGTTTTCGGAACAATTAGTAAGTAAACGAGTTTGTCCGCATTAGACTTGTTGTGGTCGTACAGGGTGCCCACATCATTCGAGTCATCTGATACGATACCCTAACCCGAAAATGCATTAAGCTTGACATTATTACTTAGCCTTTGCCTCGACACCGACTCAACTTTAGGTTGTAAGAAGCAGAAGTGTCATATATGCATTTATATACTTATATCTAGGTACTTATCTATATATTCTAGACAGCGATTATCTCACTTTCGCTAGAGCTGAACTGGTTCTACCAGACCATTTTAAAATGTCGGCTCACTATGGCGACTGTAAACCTAAAGTTGACGGATTTATGTGGCTTTATAGATCTCCTTTAAGGCAATGAGTTTTTGTGAATGTTACTTTGGCAAATTACCTTTACATAGATGCATACTTAAGTGAAGAAAAGAAGCCAACCGAATGTATTTATCTGCATGCAACCATTACCAAGGTCTGCGGTTCTTGGGTTAACGAACTCGTGGTTTTGAGACTACTTGATATTGTCTATTGTGTCTACTGTGTGGTACCGACACCAAAAATAAAATAAAAAAAAAGTCATATTAAATTAAATGTCAATGCGTTTAGTATTAAATTAACATGAATTTAAATTTCTAGCTTAAACATAAATTATTTACTGAAGTAATAATCTTGCTGTATGCCTAAGTTATTGCCAATCAAACTAGTTCATTTTATAGATACTTCGAGCTTGGAAGTTCGAGTTACGGAAGTGTGACTTTTATGATTGCATTTTTAATGTGAACTAGGCATTTTAAATTTTTCTTGCCCGTTATTTTTGTCTGTGTACAATTATGTGATTAAATATGGAAAAACGTCACGAAGCCAAAATTCCCCAAAAACGTTGGAATAAATTTAATAATCCAATGTAGGTGGACAACTGGAGCTAAATTAATTGTTGTTTGGCCAGTGTGTTAATGATCTTGAATGTTTGTCTACTTTTATTTAAGATTAGACCTGCTATTCTGATGAAAAGAGAACAGATTTGAACAGATTTAATTTGTTTTTGTTATTATTTTTAATGGAGTAAAAATGTGACGCATTTTATTTATGTATACATCTAAATATCAAGTTTATTATCTCGGCTTCCCTCCTGAAAGTCGTAACTATATTAATGTACAAAATTATAAGAAAATTTGCAAAAAATCATCGCCTAATTTTGCATGTTTTTGACGTAATAACAACAACCAGTTTTCTTAGCAAAAGCATTGACTAGGTCAGTATGCCAGCATTTAAGTTTTCGTATTTCTTTCATTTCCTTACCTCAAGTGTGAATTTTGACAGCCTAGGAGAAATGGCCAAATCCGCAGTTAAATTTCTTGTTGTGGTGGCAAATTGTTGTTAGCTGGGAGCAAGGTGTCTGGTCAGGTTAGTGCAATCGATTAGCAGGTAAAGGGGGGAATTATCTTGCATAATTGGAATGCCTAACAAGTGCAACGCTTCCGCACCTTTTATATTGGCATTTTGTTCTTTTCAGGATTGTGGTTTTTAGTGATGACAATGGTACAATTTATATCAGTCATAAGGGTAAGAAGAAATTGCATAAAAAGAAATAAAAAATATACAAACGGACAATCTTAAAATGAATAGAAAATTAAATTAAATTAATTAAAGAAAAATACAATTAGAAGTTCCGTAAAATGCTTTATTGACTTGAAAGAACTACATAAAAACTAAAGGATAAGTGCGAAAACGTTCTATATCAAATTTTACAAATATTTTAAATTGATTTCAGTTTCATACACTAAAGGTTATGAGAAAATACGTTTTCGAATTAATAAAATAATGTACCTACTTAAAGAAATAATGGGAATGTGTACCTAGTTCTCATCACTGATCGTTCTCTGATCTTATTGCGTATGCGTGAGTGGTGCGGTCTGGAAGCATAAATTGCTGGCCAAGAATTCGAGTAGACGACGTTAACAACCTGATTGGAAATTGCTTCTCGTCGGTCCACTTGTATTACCAGTAGTGAGTGAGTGGGTATATCGTTCATGTACTCACGCCCAGCTGGCTGCCGCCGACCGCTTTCGATTTCTATGCTGCATTCCAAGCCAAGCCAAGTCGAATCGGATCGAATCGGTTCTCGGATCGGGAGCTCGGGTCTCGGTCTTACGTTTTCGGTCTCTGATCGCAGCTGATCGCCAGATCCAGAGACTTCGACTCCACTTCAGAGCCAAGCTTTATTTTCTGCCATAGTTTTTTTTCCCCCTCTTGGCCCGCTTTTGCGAAATGTTGCCTATGGTATAAAAGCGTTGCACGCCCTGATTTTCTTTTGAGTTTGTCGTTTCGATTCGCAGAGTCTCGAGTGCAAGTGCAGAGCGTAGTTTCCATTTCGGCAGTGCATTACATATTCAGAGATTGGTGAAAACGGCTCGACATTGATTGTTGCTTCCAAACTTGGCAGAATGATGAAATTGGTAAGATGCAGCAAGGTCGTTGAAAGTGTGGCATCCCAAAAAGACTCTATATCGAAATCAATATGAAAATGTGTTTTGAGTATTTGCGCAGTGAATTTTTAGAATGCAATTTAGCCAACCGGTTTGCTATGGGCCGATCAGATCAGTGTCTATGATACAAAAGTAACTTAATTGCTGGTTTATTAGTCAACCATGTCCTTGAGTGAATGTTTGCACAGAGTTAAGCTTAACAACTAATTAAGGTATTTACCCGAAAGTAAAGCAATAAAAGCAAAGTAAAGTTTATTTGTAATTGCAACTTTTGTGGCTGGGTGTGTGTGGCTGGAGTAGGGAATAAAATATAAAATATATTTGAGTTTATTGCTAAACTCTTTGTATTTATTTTGCAGCCTTTGAATTTGGCGCTTCTGCTGCTGGCGGCCCACGGTGCGTATGCGCAACATCAGGACTATACCACTCCGGTGCCGATTCTCAAGCAGATCGACAAGCACAACGACGATGGATCCTATACGTATGGATACGAGGCGGCGGATAAGAGCTTCAAGATCGAGACCAAGTATGCCAATGGCGAGGTCTACGGAAAGTACGGCTATGTGGATGACCAGGGCAAGGTGCGGGAGATCGAGTACGGAGCCAGTAAGCGTGGCTTTGAGCCCGCTGGCAGCCACATCAATGTGCCACCTCCAACGCTGACCAACAGCAATCCCTATCCGCTGGGACCCAATG